TTCAGTCCATGATTGCTTGTACTACTGACATGATTTTAGTGATGAAAAAAAATTATTCTAAAGAGATACACTGAAGTGTTCAGAGGAAAATATCTGAACAGTGGGTGGTAACATTACAATTATTTCCTACTGGACTCCCAAACTGCCCGCCCCTGCTGGGGGTTGCCCTATCCACTACACACTGTGACCCAGGGTGACTGTGGAGCACTGGGCTTTGATTCAGGAGGCTCCAGGCCCACGTCAACCTCATTACGTATGTAGCCAGCCACTTACCTTCTCTGAGTCCTGTGATTTCTTTTGCAGAGTTGGATAATAATCCCTTTTGACTTACCCCATAGGACATCTCATTCTTTCTCTCAACAAATTCAACAAATATTTCCTGACCTCTCAGTCTAGTGGGCAAAGGCAGGGAATGACATTAGTACAGTAAAATATGATGAGGGTATGCTGGAGGAATGAGATGGCCACCAGGGAAGGAGAAAATTAAAATACAATGGGACGGTAAAGGAGGAATAGTTTATCTGGGAGGAAGTGCATTAGGGAAGGTCAGTCACCAGCAAAGCAAGAACAACAGATGGGGACATGTTCATCTTCAAGAATCTCACTCTCTTAATTTCATGATTCTTTAAGGTCAAATCCATCAGGCAGAATTCAGAAAGTAAAACACAAAAAAATATTTCAGGCCATAAACAGGGGCTGCAAGTTTTCTCCTGGCCTGACCCCTTACCCACCCAAATGCTTTTTCCAACACCCTCCTTCATTGTCTTATATTTTGACAGGTGATACAACCCCTAAGGCCAGAGCTCCTTTATTTCTTACCTGAATCCTGAACTCTGTAAGAAACCAAGGGCAGAGGAGCATGTAACTATTTATATTCCAATCCACTCAGCTTTGCCCTCATTTTGAGATTATTTTCCATCCCAGCGTTCTTAGAGTAGTGAGCATTCTATGTTTAGGACAATGATCAAATCTTTGTCAGATATCTTTCACAAGCAATCATAAGAATAGAAAAAAACAAAACAAAACAAAACAAAAACAACAAAACAAACAAACAAATAAACAAAACCCCTCAAACCATCTCATATCATAGGCAGGAAACCTAAGGAAGAAAGGGGTTAGCTACTTGCCCAGGATCAACCATCTGGTCAGAGGTGCAGCCAGGATTCTAACCCAGGCAGTCTGAATCCAGAGATTTTTGCTGTTGACCTTAATGTGAAGGAGGCATTGATTAGCTGGGGATGCAGTCCTACAGCATGCCCCAACTTTGCAGGGAGCATTTCTGGCCTATCCTGTTTCATCCAGTGTTTCCAAGTAGCAGGAAGACACGACAGATCATCTTCTCCACATATTGGCACAAATGCAAGACTCTGTACCCAGGGAAGCTCCTGTGAGGGCCAGCCATGTGGCTAGATGTACATAGTCATTTAAAATAATCCTTATGGAGAACATAGCATTATATGACCAATGCTTACAAGACAGTGAAAAAAGCAGAAGATAGAATTACATGTGAAGTGTGAGCAGATGTCTTAGAAACATTCAGGGTCAAATCACCAGCAAAATCATGGAGAGCAAGGGATGGAGCCATTTTCATCTTAACATCCTCACTCTCACTTCTTTATGATGCCCAAAGATCATATCCAAAGTACAGAATTCAGAGTAAAACACCAAAAATATTTCAGAAAGAATCCCTTGGAAGCCTGCTTTCCCCAGGGCTCCCATTTTGCTCTTGGTCTAATTTTGATCCCATGTCAATGTTTACTTACAAGTAAACATTTCCCCGTCTTCCAATATCCATACACTCCACACCAAAGGCTTATGGAAGGTTGTCACTGAGCATCACATGTCCTTATGCTTCCCAGAGCATGCAGAGACTGCTTATTGATGATGATGCTCCCCAAATACTTCCTGATTTGATGTATGAGCGAGAGAGGGAGTGAGGAAAACTTAGGACTGGTTGGATCATCATTGTAATCAGACGTGGTTCAGTTTGGATGCCTTATTTTAAAATAGAAGTTGCTATTTCTTAATATTCCTGCATGCTTCCTGTTCCAGTTTACACAGAAAAAAAAAGCAGAGACGAGGCCATGGATCCTGAGGTGGCAGCTTGGAACAGGTACTCCTGTGGGTAGGTTACCCCAGTACCTTCTTTCAGAATTTTCATAAAATTGAGTTCAACAGTGATGCCATTTTATGTTTCTCACTTACATTTAACTGTCCACAAAGACTGAATATTCCAGACATATGCCTTTGAAACCTAAATGTTTTGCTCTTTTTCCTTGCTGAAGGAAGGCACAGAACTTTCATGTTTCTTTTTGGCTGGGGACGTTGTGTACCTCCACTTCTCCCTGGAATGATAGGCAGAAGTGAGTCTGAGAAGGTGAGGTCCCTTCACCTCTGTGCCCTGCACAGTGCTGGCGTGCAKGAAGGTTTCCAGAATGTCTCCTCTATGTTTGCAAAGCATATCTGGGTCTCAGTTTATCAGATGTTAACTAATCTTATTTTACAGTCAAAAGAACTAATGCCCAGAGATGTTAAATGATATTTTTCAAAGTCACTGAGTGTCAGAGTCAGGGGGAATCATTGTTAGAAATATTTGGGGTCCTGGGCACCCCAGGAGTCAAAATAAACACTTGGAGACTAATCAGTTCTGTGGGCAGGGCAGGAATTTTACTTATGTTGCATAGCAATCAAAACCAAAGCAGGTGCACCACGCAGGCAGCCGGCTCAGCCTTTATCCCTTGGTTTCTCTGTTGCACAACAAGCAGATATTACTATTATAAAAAACCTTTCCAAGTTGAGAAAGAAATTCTCTGGCTTAAGGGAAGAGAGATGTTTGGGRTCAGGTGCCAACTAGAAGCAGTTGGCATTGTTGAATTAACCTAGGTGTGAGGAGAGGTGACTTGGACTTAGAGCAATGACTGTGGGATTGGAGCTGGCACTGTGGCAGAGCTGTTGAGGGTGTGCAGAAGGAGGGAGGGAAGCCCCAGGGCCTACATGGGTAGCCTCCTCCCTTCCCTGCACTTGGAACCTGGCTGGTGACACTGTGTTCCTGAGAGGTCCTGGCCTT